TATTTCCATCCACCCTCGATCGGAGCTGTAATGCGATCCGGCATCTTTGAAAAGGTTGCTGAATGTTTCTGAAGTTTCAAAGGTTCCCAAAGTGCTGCCGAAAGTTTGAGCAACTTTTTCTGCGAAACTCAGAAACATACGTAAGCAATTTGTAAACAGCTCGATTAGCTGTAATGATATCTTCCAACTGAGCCACTTTTCCACAAAACCGAAAAGAATCGGCAAACCATTGCCAAAACGTTTGCGGAAATTTTAGGCGAAACTATAAACGTCCGTGCAAGTTTTGGAAAGACGTGGTCCCAAGCATAACTGGACTTACAGTGACAGGTATTTCCCGTAGCGATTCCATCATGCTTCGTCCACTGTTGGCAGTGGCGCACCAATGATATTTAAACGAATAAAAATGCGCTACAACACGGCATACTAGGCGAGCTGAGTCATGGACGCAACACCAGGGGCAAAAATGAGACGGGGCCAGGGTCAGACGTCTCGGAGCGGATGACCGCGCAAGACCTATTCTCCTGATCGCGACTCTGTCATCAGGAATAGAGACCACTGTGCTTACACAGTGGCTCTGTAATGCTATGTGATAAACTTGACTAAAAGGTCCAGCCGTCGTCTCCTTGAGTCGACGACGGCTAGGCGTCTTACTCTCACCGATCATAGGTTATGGACCTTCACCCATTCCACTGCTAGTCAAACAAGCCTTATTGCTTCTCACGCCCGCGTCCGAGCTTAGCTCCACATAATCATCGCATTTGAGCCTCGCTCCACATCATCACCATCATCATCGCGTTCGAGCTTCGCTCCGCCTCTTTTCCGCCTCTTTCCCCTGTGCCCTAATCCCACACAAACCTTGGCGTGATCCTCTTTCACGCACACGAACCAACAATTCACCATCCTGTCCAGTTCAAGGACTTGAGCCCTCGCACGAAACGCCGGCACTACCGGGGCACAACAGATATCTGGGGAGACCTTTGGCGACAAGTCACACAAACTCAAACGCTACAGTCTGCAATTCAAACCATGTCGAACATCCAGCCCGGACAGCAACCAAGCCAGACCCAGTCTGGCAACACCCTGGAAGCCCTTATTGGACTTCTTGCCCTTGCGTGGAAATTTACAGAAACAATACCGCGCCTCTACCGACACACATTCCACGCTTGGAGATGGGCACTCAAGCTTGTCCTCCGTCAAAGAGATCTCGAAATCCTCCCCACAGACGAATTTAACCTGGCTGATTATGTCGGTGAGGAACACAATTTCTACTCCAAAGCTTCGGCAAGCTGCAACACCATGATAATGTCTAGCTTAGAACCAGAAGTACTACAAATCATTCCCGCAGATACATTCACCGACACCCCCGCTGCAATCACTAACGCACTACGAGATGCACTCGTGTCCAACGAGGATCTCTCACACCGCGTACTCAAAGCTGAGGCAAAGGAGATCACCCTCGCCCAATGCTCAAGCGTACAAGCGTTCGTCGAAAAGCATCGCACGCTGCGTGCGCGCATGATCGCAGCTAATTATCCAAAAATACAAGCAGAATCAACCACGGTCAATCTTATGCTTGACGGCCTTCAAGAAAACCCAGAGTTCTCTTTCCTACTTCGTACAGCAAAATTCACCGGCGCACACTCGTCCATCAGTTCGTTGCACGCGTGTTTGCAGGATGTCCGTGACTTTGATGCCAAAACTCCAACTTGGTCGGAGGCCCCATAGCTGGCTCATTCTCAATGGCTCCCAAAACACACAATCCCAGACTACATCGCGGGAGAGGCCGCGGACGCTACAGCAGATACAGGGGCAGCGACCGTTTTCCACGCTTCACTTTGGACCAGATCACTCAAATCGGGCAAGCGTTCAATTCAACAAACCAAAACCGTCCCTGACAAAAATACCACCAAAGGGGCGGCAATCGACCTCATCGTGGGCGACAGCAGTCCGGCCGCACTACAGAAGCGCAAATCACTCAGACCACCCAACCCCTCCTGATCCCGGAGCAAATGCAACACCTGGCGCGTCAATTGGACAACGTCGGTCAAGAGCAGCAGCCCACACTCGACTGTACGTATCTTTTGGACTCCGATGCACACCCCTCTCATATCAACCATTCTCTCCCGCACATGCGCAAACTTTGAAAGCCGCTAACCACAAATACGGCCACCTCATCTTCCTCGCGCACTACACATTCCGTGCAGCTTCGACTGACGACGAGCAAGAAAACTGAGCTTGTACTCCCTGCCGTATACAACCCCGATCTGCGCACAAACCTTCTTTCTGTTCACGACATTGCCGTCCGCCACGGTCCCGTGCTAATTCTACCCAACCAGGCAGACATACTACACAAATATGACCACAACGTAGTCATCAGAGTGGCACCGTGGACAGGACGCGGCTACAGGTTAAAGCTCTCAGGCGACACGCCTACCGCCTATGTCGCATTTGGACCGTCAACTTTGTGCCATACATTCCACACCAAGACCCCGTTCGCACCTCCTTCCACAACCAACCCACCGCCCGCCGCTGCACAGCTCGCCACCACACTCCAACAAATATTGTTGCCACTACCCCAGCCCCAACTTCTCACAAGCAAGCAAAATGCTACCCCGATGCACAAAAGTGGGCGGCCGCGCATGATTCGGAACTCGACAAACTCGATAACGCAAAAGTCGTCAGCTGGATACCAAACTACCGCCTTCCGAAACATGCCAAACTCATACCTCTCTTTATGAAATACAGATACAAACGAACACCATCCGGAATCTTGTTAGAACGGAAAGCCAGAGGCACTGCGCGCGGTGACCGCATGGTCTCAAAAGTGCACTTCGATCCCGCTCATGCCGCCGCACACACCGCTGATAAGGCTACAATTCGTCTGCTTCTCGCGCCATCCGCTGCCCATGGCCTTCACTTGGACCATTTGGACATTAAATCTGCTTTCGTCCATGAGAAATACGGCTTTAAAAAGCCTGTATATCTTAGGCAACACTCTCAATTTGACGGCTCAATGGCTCACCCTGGCTCCAAAGCTGGGATCCTTATCAAGAATATATACGGAACCCCATCAGGGGGATTCTACTACCTTCGCGGTGCAGTGGAGTGGCTGGATCTAATTGGCTTCTCGCAGTCTCAAGACGACCCTTGCCTCTTTCGCTTCCAACACACCGCCAATGAATACATCATCATAGCACTCACCATAGATGACTTCCTCGTCGCCGCCACCTCACGCCACCTCTTAGATTGGCTAGCCGCCACCCTCGCCGTCAAATATCCTGGCAACGTCCAACGCTTGGGATTCCCGTCCTCATACCTCGGATGGACAATTGAAAAACAGACAGACGGCGGCATCAAGATATCCCAGCCAAATTATGCGGCAAAGACTCTATCTATGATGCGCATGACAGAATGTAACAGCCGCAATTCGCCAAATGTGGATGGAGCGCAGTATCACGGGCCTTTTGAGGAGGACAAGCACATCCCAAAACAGAAAGGAAAGTACCAAGAAGTGTTGGGGGAGCTTCGGTATCTCACCGACTGTACAAGGCCGGACCTCAAGTTCGCGGTGAATCGCCTCAGCTGCGCAGCCCACGATACGACGCAAAGACATTGGAACATTTTAAAAAACTTGCTACGCTACATCCAAAGTACTCGGAATCTCGGCCTCGTGTACAGTCCTGTGAAACAAGAAAACCGTCATCATTTCAAGACGTACGCTGATGCGGACTACGCTGGTCATACCAAGAACCGCTAGTCGATATCCGGCGAAATTCACTTCTACGACAACATGCCAGTAGCATGGGGTTCTCAAAAGCAGAAAGTCCAGGCCCTGTCCACTTGCGAGGCGGAATATTTATCCGGATCTTCCGCCGTACAGTATACACAATGGTTTCGCAGGCTGTTTCACTTTCTCGGCCAGCCACAGGGACGTGTACCCGTCTATATGGACAACCTCTCTGCCATCAAGGTCGCTCAGAAGACCGCTTCTACAAAACGCCGCAAATTCATAGACATCAGGCATTACTATCTGAGAGAACATATCAAACAAAATCACATCACCCTTCTGCACGTACCAACGCGCCATATGCTGGCAGACATCATGACAAAACCGCTGAGGAAACAGCTGTTTCTCAACATGCGCTGATGGCTTGCTCCCCACCACCATTGCACGAGTCGTGCCATCAGGAAGTTGCCGATTTGCAATGGCGGTAATCCACATATCACGCGCTTGTTGAGCCGGCTGCCCTGCCATCAGGAATAGAGACCACTGTGCTTACACAGTGGCTCTGTAATGCTATGTGATAGACTTGACTAAAAGGTCCAGCCGTCGTCTCCTTGAGTCGACGACGGCTAGGCGTCTTACTCTCACAGATCATTCTCGGGGAAGGGTACTACATGATTGTGTAGAGTACAACTCGGAAAAGAGGGTAAAATGTTATTTTATTAAATAAGTTCAACGAAAGGTATGATAGCTGCAAGCATTGGGTGTTGGGAGCTTTTTTACCAAGAAGTAATGAAGACTTACCAAGAGGTAGCTCGACAACATGCTCCGAAATGCTCTTCGCGTCAATTAACGAAAAACAAATCGCCTTTTTAGATCTCGAGAAAAATTAAAAAGCGTCACACGAGGTCAAATGACATCTAGGCACTTATGAACGGGCCTTTATAAGACTCCCGTTTTGCAATTATTGGGGTTGTACATAAAACGCTCGCTGTTCATGTAGAAGGAAGTTGAGCCCTACTTATTGAGAATGATGGGGAGAAAGAAAGAAAAAGGTTTTGGGAAAAGACACTAACTACCGTGGCTACTGTAGCCACAGTACTGTAGAGTAGAGTAAGACGCAAATCAACAACTAGGGAATTTTCAATAAAAACAGTTAGCAAATGCCGAGCACTTGAGATCCTTTTTTTTTTATTCATTGCACGGCTCTGGAGATCATTGAGCAGGGGACGCGATAGCACTCGAGTCAAATCCGCAATATGTACAAACACGCAAATTAAAAATCAGCTCCATCCCCTGCGCTTGCAAAATGCCAAGTGCGGCCATGCCTTCGCTTGGCGATGCTTTTGGATGGGGACAGGACGTCTCTCGACGGCGCCAGATTTTCAGTGGGGTATAGTATGCGCCTTTGGGTGCCCCGGTCGTCGAGCGCAGCGGTGGTTGGTGTGGGCGCATCGTGCGGCGGAAGGGCGGCATGAGTGAGAGTGCACGGGGAGCTTTCCCTCACGTCTTGCGCTGCAAGTCGTTGCAGACGGTTCGGTTCTAGCGGGGCGGAGTTTTCCAGCATCTCCTGGAAGGTCGGCAGGCGCTCCCCCGACTGGCCAGCATACTGCGGGGCAGGTGGGACGTCAGCGGCGAGGTTTGTTTGGTGGAAATCAAGGCCGTAGTGGGCGCGCTTTCTAGCCCAGGCATGTGAAGTTTGATCGACGAGGCGGGATCCCTGATTCTCTATTTTGATACGGAACGGGTCCAGGTAGTGGGGTGAGGCGGCGTGGATGTGCGGGTCGGGTGTGGCGCAAACTCTTGTGGGAATGATGTGTTGAGGTTGTTCTTCCATAGGGCGCAGATGGGGGTGGTGAAAGGAGGAAGGGACAGCAAAGTGTCTGGCGTGCAAGTTTTCGACGAAGCGATCGATGTGAAAGTTGTTCGGGGTTAGGCCGCGCTCCTTGATGGCGCGCTTGAGGGTGGAGTTGTAGCGGTTCTTGACGGAGTTATCGGTGCGTCCGGGGAGGACTTGGGCGATGGCGCTCCACTTGTTCCCCAAGGTGGCGTGCAGACGAAGGATGGTGCGGTCCTCATAGGCGGTCCAATTCTTCTTCTTGAGGGTAGGGTTGAGCTGGTTCATCCATCGCTCGCGGGCCTGCTTGCCGCTGCGACGCGGGAAGTGTGTAGCGATGGAGCTCCAGTGCTTGGGGCCGTAGCGGGCGACGAGGTCGATGAGCAAGCGGTCCTCTTCGATGCGCCACGGGCCGCGCACGGGCTTTGGACGGTGGCCGAGGATGTGCGGGAGGTCGGGGTCGGGGTCGGCGGAGGTGTCTGCGCGCGGGTCCAGGTACGGCTGCTGCTGGTCGGAGAAGGAGGTCGGGGTGAGATCGTTGATGAGGGTGTGGGTGGTTTGCGGGAGTGAGAGGGGCGGGCAGGAGAGGGCGGCGGAGGATGGAGAGGAACTGTGGTGGGTCGGGGTGGGTAGTGGGGTGGGGGTCGGACAGGAGGAGGTTTCCGAGCTGTT